CTAAACTTCTGAACACAGTCCTCCTTAAACTTCTGAACACAGTCCTCCCTAAACTTCTGAACACAGTCCTCCCCAAACTTCTGAACACAGTCCTCCCTAAACTTCTGAACACAGTCCTCCCCAAACTTCTGAACACATTCCTCCCTAAACTTCTGAACACAGTCCTCCCCAAACTTCTGAACACAGTCCTCCCCAAACTTCTGAACACAGTCCTCCCTAAACTTCTGAACACAGTCCTCCCCAAACTTCTGAACACAGTCCTCCCCAAACTTCTGAACACAGTCCTCCCCAAACTTCTGAACACAGTCCTGAACACAGTCCTCCCTAAACTTCTGAACACAGTCCTGAACACAGTCCTCCCCAAACTTCTGAACACAGTCCTGAACACAGTCCTCCCTAAACTTCTGAACACAGTCCTGAACACAGTCCTCCCCAAACTTCTGAACACAGTCCTGAACACAGTCCTCCTTAAACTTCTGAACACAGTCCTCCCTAAACTTCTGAACACATTCCTCCCCAAACTTCTGAACACAGTCCTGAACACAGTCCTCCTTAAACTTCTGAACACAGTCCTGAACACAGTCCTCCTTAAACTTCTGAACACAGTCCTCCCTAAACTTCTGAACACAGTCCTGAACACAGTCCTCCTTAAACTTCTGAACACAGTCCTGAACACAATCCTCCCCAAACTTCTGAACACAGTCCTCCCTAAACTTCTGAACACAGTCCTGAACACAGTCCTCCCCAAACTTCTGAACACAGTCCTCCCTAAACTTCTGAACACAGTCCTCCCCAAACTTCTGAACACAGTCCTCCCCAAACTTCTGAACACAGTCCTCCCCAAACTTCTGAACACAGTCCTGAACACAGTCCTCCCTAAACTTCTGAACACAGTCCTGAACACAGTCCTCCCTAAACTTCTGAACACAGTCCTGAACACAGTCCTCCCTAAACTTCTGAACACAGTCCTGAACACAGTCCTCCCTAAACTTCTGAACACAGTCCTCCCTAAACTTCTGAACACATTCCTCCCTAAACTTCTGAACACAGTCCTCCCTAAACTTCTGAACACATTCCTCCCTAAACTTCTGAACACATTCCTCCCTAAACTTCTGAACACAGTCCTCCCTAAACTTCTGAACACATTCCTCCCTAAACTTCTGAACACATTCCTCCCTAAACTTCTGAACACAGTCCTCCCTAAACTTCTGAACACATTCCTCCCTAAACTTCTGAACACAGTCCTCCCTAAACTTCTGAACACATTCCTCCCTAAACTTCTGAACACAGTCCTCCCTAAACTTCTGAACACAGTCCTCCCTAAACTTCTGAACACATTCCTCCCTAAACTTCTGAACACAGTCCTCCCCAAACTTCTGAACACAGTCCTGAACACAGTCCTCCCTAAACTTCTGAACACAGTCCTCCCTAAACTTCTGAACACAGTCCTCCCTAAACTTCTGAACACCTAGAAACTTCGGAACACCTCCCCAAACGTCTGAACACAAACCTCCCCAACACCTTCCCCCCCCCTTTCCAAAAAACCCCAGTCTCATGTAAATGGTATCTAAGCCGTGTTTCTGTCCTTCTGCTGATGCCGCCTGATGAAGGTTTCAACAATGGATTAACTGGAGCAGACGATAGGAAACTTTTGGAGAAAAACTATCGAAGGGAGATAGCTCGGAAAAAAACACTTTCAACAGTTTGAATCTACAAAAAGGGAGGTAATAAAGTTTACAATCTTTCTCGTCTCAGTCTCAATGGGGTGGGGGGGGGGGGGGGTGGGGGTGGAATCATTACTTAAAAGAGGGAGAGACTTATTGATGTGTCACTAAGTCTGTGAGTATATAAGTCTGTGTGTCTTTGTTTGTAAGACTGCATCATCTTTTACGTTCGTGCCCACGACACTCGGGGTATATGAAGCAGAGTTCATCTGTTTATTGACCTCGGATACTATGGTCAAAACTATGTCAAGCCGCCTTTATTTCAGGTGGGGTTGGTACTTATCAGAGCTAGGTGGACTTAGGGGTCAAGCCCGGGATCCGAACTCGAGACTTTTGGGTAAGCGGTCGTTTACAAAGCAAGATATCACATGTACCAAACTATTTTAAAAAATAACAATACAACTAACTCAATGAGACCAAGAAGTAAAAGAAAGTATTGCTACATAAAAGAATCCTAGCCAGAGACTGACCGTAATTGTATGTGTTTTTAGGACGGTACCCCCCCCATTATGTTTACATTTGTGAACTGTCCCTATACTAGTACATGGACGGGCTATTACATGTGCACATTTTTTTATGCTTCAAAGCAAAACACAGGAGGCGCCCACGTCGTTTAAATAGATTTTCAAATGGTGACAATAAAGCGAGTATTTCTTTAAGGCGAGTTATTTTAAGGGGAAGATTTAAAGTTAAGTTCCACTCAGATATGTTCAGCAAGCGAGGTATTTTAAGGGGAAGATTTTAAAGTTCTACCCAGATATATTCAGCAGGAGCCGAGACAATTGTATTCAGCAGCTTTATAGGGATTTGTTCTTGTGTTAGTTGGTGTGTGGACCAGTAGCCTGGCTCAGACTTATCCAGTCCAACATAATGTTGCTAGACTTATCCATTCCAACATAATGTTACCAGACTTATCCAGTCCAACATAATGTTGCCAGACCTATCCAGTCCAACATAATGTTGCCAGACTTATCCAGTCCAACATAATGTTGCCAGACCTATCCACTCCAACATAATGTTACCAGACTTATCCAGTCCAACATAATGTCGCCAGACTTATCCAGTCCAACATAATGTTGCCAGACTTATCCAGTCCAACATAATGTCGCCAGACTTATCCAGTCCAACATAATGTTGCCAGACTTATCCAGTCCAACATAATGTTGCCAGACCTATCCAGTCCAACATAATGTCGCCATATTTCTCTAGTCCAACATAATGTTGCCAGACTTATCCAGTCCAACATAATGTTGCCAGACCTATCCAGTCCAACATAATGTTGCCAGACTTATCCAGTCCAACATAATGTTGCCAGACTTATCCAGTCCAACATAATGTTGCCAGACTTATCCAGTCCAACATAATGTTACCAGACTTATCCAGTCCAACATAATGTTGCCAGACTTATCCAGTCCAACATAATGTTGCCAGACTTATCCAGTCCAACATAATGTTGCCAGACCTATCCAGTCCAACATAATGTTACCAGATTTATCCAGTCCAACATAATGTTGCCAGACTTATCCAGTCCAACATAATGTTACCAGACTTATCCAGTCCAACATAATGTTGCCAGACTTATCCAGTCCAACATAATGTTGCCAGACTTATCCAGTCCAACATAATGTTGCCAGACTTATCCAGTCCAACATAATGTCGCCATATTTCTCTAGTCCAACATAATGTTGCCAGACCTATCCAGTCCAACATAATGTCGCCATATTTCTCTAGTCCAACATAATGTTGCCAGACTTATCCAGTCCAACATAATGTTACCAGACTTATCCAGTCCAACATAATGTTGCCAGACTTATCCAGTCCAACATAATGTTGCCAGACTTATCCAGTCCAACATAATGTTGCCAGACTTATCCAGTCCAACATAATGTCGCCATATTTCTCTAGTCCAACATAATGTTGCCAGACCTATCCAGTCCAACATAATGTCGCCATATTTCTCTAGTCCAACATAATGTTGCCAGACTTATCCAGTCCAACATAATGTTGCCAGACTTATCCAGTCCAACATAATGTTGCCAGACTTATCCAGTCCAACATAATGTTGCCAGACTTATCCAGTCCAACATAATGTTGCCAGACTTATCCAGTCCAACATAATGTTGCCAGACTTATCCAGTCCAACATAATGTTGCCAGACTTATCCAGTCCAACATAATGTTACCAGACTTATCCAGTCCAACATAATGTTACCAGACTTATCCAGTCCAACATAATGTTGCCAGACTTATCCAGTCCAACATAATGTTGCCAGACTTATCCAGTCCAACATAATGTTGCCAGACTTATCCAGTCCACCATAATGTTGCCAGACCTCGCCACAATATCAACTTTTGTTAAACCATGAATGTATCATTTCCACTGTTCTAGACATCTATCGTGTATTTTATACTCATTTTTTCCTTGCTAAAGCCACTGAAGCAAATATAAAATAGGCCATTGGGAAAGGATTATGTCCATTTTGTTTTTGTCGCTGTGAGTTTATGTCCATTTTGTTTTTTGCCAGACAAGAAAATACACAACTGTAACTATAATATAAAGTTAGTATTTAAAATTATAATAAAGAATATATAAGTCGCTAGTTTTTGATTTAAAAATTTCGGACTCACCAATCATTTAAGCTTTACCAACACAGCTCATTACGTACCTACGACAACGGGTTTTGCACTTAAACGCCCCCGAAATGATAAAGCCCCAAGCTTAACATAGGGGATTAAACGAGCTCTCTATAGTAACCATATGGCTTCTCTCTCCCCCCCCCCCCCGTAAGTATCAGTTTGTGTGAGGTCATGTGTACTGGACTGTGTGTACTATCGGTCAATTATTGAAATGGGGAGACTGAACGCTTTTAAGTTTTAGAGTTAAAGGTTAGCTAGTAAACAAAAACATCTCACCAAATATACACAGATTTGCAAAGTGCTTGAGCGTGTCAACACATACTAGTAGGTGTGTTGTCTCTCCAAACATCTACTGTATGTGTTAACACACCTCTTGTATCAACACATCACTTGTATGTATCAACACATCTCTTGTGTCAAAATATCTCTTGTATGTGTCAACACATCTCTTGTGTCAAAATATCTCTTGTATGTGTCAACACATCTCTTGTGTCAACACATCTCTTGTATGTGTCAACACAACTCTTGTATGTGTCAACACATCTCTTGTATGTGTCAACACATCTCTTGTATCAACACATCTCTTGTATGTGTCAACACATCTCTTGTATGTGTCAACACCTCTCTTGTATGTGTCAACGCATCTCTTGTATGTGTCAACACATCTCTTGTATGTGTCAACACATCTCTTGTGTCAACACAACTCTTGTATGTGTCAACACATCTCTTGTATGTGTCAACACATCTCTTGTATGTGTCAACACATCTCTTGTATGTGTCAACACATCTCTTGTATGTGTCAACACATCTCTTGTATGTGTCAACACATCTCTTGTGTCAACACATCTCTTGTATGTCTCAACACATCTCTTGTATGTGTCAACACATCTCTTGTATGTGTCAACACATCTCTTGTATGTGTCAACACATCTCTTGTATGTGTCAACACATCTCTTGTATGTATCAACACATCTCTTGTATGTGTCAACACATCTCTTGTATGTGTCAACACATCTCTTGTATGTGTCAACACATCTCTTGTATGTGTCAACACATCTCTTGTATGTGTCAACACATCTCTTTTATGTCTCAACACATCTCTTGTATGTGTCAACACATCTCTTGTATGTGTCAACACATCTCTTGTATGTGTCAACACATCTCTTGTATGTGTCAACACATCTCTTGTATGTGTCAACACATCTCTTGTATGTGTCAACACATCTCTTTTATGTCTCAACACATCTCTTGTATGTGTCAACACATCTCTTGTATGTGTCAACACATCTCTTTTATGTCTCAACACATCTCTTGTATGTGTCAACACATCTCTTGTATGTAACACCTAGTGTACGTGTAAATCTAGAACATTTGGTGCATGTGTACCGAGAAGACGCGAACCTGTATATTGTAATTAATGAAAACAAAATCTTCCTCTTCACTGGGTTAAGCCAGCGAAGTTCCTTAACTCTTCCTTAGATGTTCAATAATAAAGTATGGTTCAAGGAAATGTTTTCTGCTAGTTAATTTTTACCTTTCTATTTTTGTGAGGTCTAACAGAATGTCCTATTTAAATGACTTTTAGGCAATTTGTTCCTCATTTAACTAAGTTTAAATACAAATACATAAGGGACAATATATTGAATCTATTTTTTTTCGTTCGGAATCATGAGCATGTATATTATGTAACAATAGTTTTTTTATTTAAACCGAATTCAATTCAGCATTAAGAGATCCACATAAAAACAAAAGAATATATTGTGTCTGCATTTCGTTTTTTTCACCACTCATACTTAATTTATTTAAATGAGCTTTATCTAAAAGATTTCTTCATTAAAATCCGATAACACCTAATCTATTTCTCAAAACTTTTTGTAAATGTTTATATTTAAAAGTTTTCAGTACACAGTCTTTGAGAATTTCTGGTTGTTACATTAAAGTTAAGTAAATATTTAGACCTGAAAGTTTCTAGTTATTACAATAAAGTACAATACATATTTACTTATGAATCCAATAAAATAGAATACATATTTACCTAGGAATCACATAAAGTAAAACACATATTTACCTATGAATCACATAAAGTAAACCACATATTTACCCATGAATCACATAAAGTAAAACACATATTTACCTATGAATCACATAAAGCAAAACACATATTTACCAATGAATCACATTAAGTAAACCACATATTTACCCATGAATCACATAAAGTAAAACACATCTTTACCAACGAATCACATAAATTAAACCACATATTTACCCATGAATCACATAGTAAAACACATATTTACCAATGAACCACATCAAGTAAACCACATATTTACCTATAAGACCCAGCCAGGGGGAGCAGTAGAGCAGGGTGAAGATCCACAAGATGGCGATGATCTTCTTGGCCCTGCTGACCGTACACATGGTGTGGGCCTTCATGGGGTGGCAGATGGCGATGTAGCGCTCGATGGTGAAGGCGGTGATGGACAGGGACGAGCTGTCCACGCCCAGGTACTGCAGGAAGATCAAGAGAGGGCACATGAGCCGCCCGTAAGGCCACTCGTCCACTTTAAAGAACGGCTCCGGGATGGCCGGAAGTGTCCCGGCGAGCAAGACGATGCTGTCGGCCACTGCCAGACTCAGCAGGTAGCAGTTGGTGGTCGTGTGCATGCTGCGGGTGCGCGCGATCACCACCACCACCAGGATGTTGCCGAGGAAACCGAAGACGAAAATGACGGACGAGAGGGCGGAGGCGACGACCATGAAGAGCAGGGAGTAGTTTTTAGGGTGGGGGAGGGTGGTGTTCTGCACCTCGGTCAAACCGGAAGTGCTGTTTAACAGCGCGGCGTCCAGGCAGCTGTTGAAACTCCTGATGACGTCAGTGGTGTTGGTGACGCCGGCGCTGAACGTGATGACGTTGGCGTTCAAGCCCGGGGTGATGACGTTCTGGTACACAATCTCGAACTTTCGCTCCAGCTCGTAGGCTTCCGGTCTAGCGACCTGCTCGGGGTTTGACCCTAGGGCCGACTCCCCCCACTGTAGCATGCAGATCACAAAGGTCGTCAGCTTCAACGGAGCGTGGACAAAGCTTAACCATAATCTTAACGCACTCATTTTCATGAGAGAAATAAAACCACCGGCGTTGTTAGGCGCACGCCGTCAACTCATAAACTCAGATGGAATGGAAAGATAAAAAAAACGTTAAGAAAACATAGCACGACGCATTAGCGAAAAAAAAATGATTAAAATATAAGCTGATTAGTGAAAAACTTGGTAATGTCTTAAATGTTACATGGCGTTACAGGGTGCTCTGATCTCTCGCTTTTTCTGAGTTTTCCTGGGAATCTCTTAAAAGCATTTTGTCTGTCTGATTCTCCGAGCGTTAGGAGAAGTCTGGGAAGTGACGTCATTGGTGGGCCGTGCGACTGAAAGAAAACATAAAACAAGAAGTTAAGCCGAACGGAACACGTATCGGAACAATCTTTTGACGATTTAATTCCACTAAATGCGGTCGTTGATTAAATTTTAAATTAAAAGTCAGCTTAATGACAGATTTAATATCTAAAATCTTGACTGGGTTTTTTTAAAACTTGGAACACCACTTTAATACACCATTTTAACAAAAGGTGTCATCATTGACCACGCTAGTCACCACCTCACCACATAGACTTGAGCATATGTGAGACGTTGCAACACGTTGAAAGGTGATCTGTGTAGTGATACTGACTAGGTTTTCCTCCTTGCATACGGTGCTCTCCATATCATATTAAATACATCAAGCCCTATCTAAGATCTGATTATTTTCAAGCCAGCTAGGATAAAACCAGCTGGGATTAAGCCGGTTCAGCTAGGACCGGCTGGGACCAAGCCGTCTGATGTAGGACCGGCTGGGATAAAACCGGCTGGGATTAAACCGGTTCAGCTAGGACCGGCTGGGACCAAGCCGTCTGATGTAGGACCGGCTGGGATAAAACAGGTAAAAAATTAAGCCGGTTCAGATAGGACCGGCTGGGACCAAGCCGGCTGATGTAGGACCGGCTGGGATAAAACCGGCTGGGATTAAACCGGTTCAGCTAGGACCGGCTGGGACCAAGCCGTCTGATGTAGGACCGGCTGGGATAAAACAGGTAAAAAATTAAGCCGGATCAGATAGGACCGGCTGGGATAAAAACGGCTGTGTGTAGAGCCGTTAGACGATAAAACCCATTTAGATTACATATAAACTGAAATCAGCAAGAGAATAAAAATAAAATAAAACCTTGGCACGAAAGACATCAGTTAATGCTGACAGCATTCTTTGGTCGAATGGTTGAGCTTGCAATGTTAACTCCAATGCCATGAGTTCGGTTCCTGGATCGATTATAGGTAACCCTCGCCCCAATATTCAATGACAAATTCAGCTGCATCATATGTAACCACTTTAACAACAAAACTCTACTTCATCTGATCTACATACTTCGAAGCTGTATCTAGCTAACAGTGTTCCAATAAAAAACTTTTATAAAACTCTGCAGCTATCTAGAATTATCATCAACAATGTTACACACTTAAATTTATACTCAATTTTAAGTAATTTAGTTATGGTTTCAGAAAAATGTGTATAAAAAATTTAGAAATGTAATAAAATATTTACGTATAAATTTTTAGAAAAATTGTTGCAACATATATATACTTCTTAAAGTATATGCTGTGTTATAACTAAAAACACGTTACTACCACTATGAAAATTTGACATGTGTATGTCTAATAATTTTTTTGATGAATATTTTTGTTTTTCTCCCTTAGTTTGGGTGATACTGCCCCCTTAAAAAAACGATTGTAAAAAAAAAGTCACAGGAAAAAAAAAACACAGGAAAAAAAAAACACAGAAAAAAAGTCACAGGAAAAAAAGTCACAGGAAAAAAAGTCACAGGAAAAAAAGTCACAAATATATATTTGCATGGGATTTGTTAATACTTTTATGTATTAAATATTCAGAGAGTGCAAATTAACTTAAGATTAATTAAATGTAATGTAATGTGTGTTGGTTGTATACGTATAGTAATTTTTATAATTCATCTAAAAATATTTAGTATGAATTATGTAGATTGTAATTTTTTAAACATAATACTTATAACATTTAATAGAATGTCCACGGTTTTCATCGTTGTTTTTTTAAATTAAATTACCGTGAAATGGTAAGGTCATCTGAATTACTGCCCTCAACTCATCGCAACAATAGTTATGCTTAGTTCAACCATCTTTACTGCCCACATTTATCACGCTCATTACATAACAAAACTTAGGATCAAAACAGAGAGCCGACAAGGTTCAAAGGCTGTCATTGACACAAAACGTCAACAACCAGAGCCGGCGTTAGGGGTACGCGGGGCCTATGGCCAACCATCCGCGCGGGGCCTTATATTTTTTTCATTGGTGTATAATTAAATAAAACATGTACAGTGAGGCGTTTTTTTTTTCTTCTCAAAGCGAATTAATATTTATAACGATATATATGGTATTTTTACATTAAGACACTGATTAACAAATAATTTGTTTACTTAAAAGTGCTTTTATAAGTTTGAGACACGCATTAAAGAGACGATGAACGTCAGCTTCAAACCTGATTTTTTTACATTAATGTTTATTTATGAAAATCTTACCAGTACGTTCACAAACGAAGATCTACTTTTCTTGCCTTTCGTGAGGAAAATTCCATAATTATATCATCATAGTCCAAACTGGAGGCTATGTCTTTTTCTATTGACAGAATCGACAGGCCGCAGAGCCTGTCTTGGGACATCGTTGATCTCAAATAGTTCTTGATCAACTTCAGTTTGGAGAAACTTCTTTCGGCGCTTGCCACTGTGACTCGAACTGTTTGCAAGATTCTGTAGGCGATCGCCGTATTGGGAAAGGAATCCCGAATACTCCAAATGTACTGAAGGCACTGTTTGGCTGACTTAATACCTTCGGGCACTTTGAAGCAACGTTAAATCGGTCCACAGTGGCAGGTGATAGTATCGATATTTTCTCAATTTATCGAGTGTTAACAGGGGCATTCAAAGTGTGTGGATGCCGGGGAAAATAGCAAAACATTGATAGATTTCGGAATAAGCTCGAATCGTGAAAAAAACTGTTTACAGCTATAGATATCCAAATGAAATGACTCTCAAATGTAATCACGGACGCTCAGTAAGGTGGAACACTGGGGGGGGGGGGGTGACAGTTGGTGGGGTGAGGTGAAGCCCGTGAAGGATAACTGTACATTTAAATCTATGGGACGCCAAACCCTAAAAAAAAATCAGTTCGGGTACTACGTTACTGGATCTGTCCGCAGCCATTCAAGAGAAGGTGCGTGTGTATAGAGCGTCCACGTATTACATTACAGGTTAAGACCGCGTTCTCACAAGAGAAGGTCCGTGTCTATAATTAGAAAGTGAACCATGTTATTTATGAGTTTCGCGATGGCATGCTCGGACTGCCGGTAATTTAGACGTTTTAGAAATCAGGAGAACTTTACTATAAAACAGTCTCGGCCCGATGTATCAAACAGTATAGACTTTATAATTTGTTTAGTGTGCCCACACTATTTTAAAACAAGAATCACTATGGCCTTAACTATTATACTGAATATCCCTACACAGAGGCGTAGCGAGGGGGGTGCGGATCGCACCGGGTGACACCATTAAGGGGGGTGACACCAAGGCAAAAAATAGCAAAATATATAGAGAAAAACTTGAGGGGGGTGCACATCGAAAGTTTGTTTGAGGTGGGGGGGGGGGGGTGCAAATCGAAAACTTGAGGGGGGGGGTGCAAATCGAAAGTTTGAGGGGGGAGGGGTTGCAAATTGAAAATTTGAAAGTTTTTTCCCGGGAAGGGTCGCTACGCCTCTGGGGGAGGGGGGTGTCACCATTAAGTGCCGCACCGGGTGACACCCGACCTCGCTACGCCACTGTCCCTACAATTAATTAAAATAAACATGTGCTTAATCACTTTACGAATACCGTTAAAGTTTACCAAAATGAAAATGGACATAATTACTGTATAAATGCCCTTCAAAAATATAAAAATAAATACAAGTATAATGTATTTAAAGATGACCTGACAATATATAAAATAAATATGAACATAATTACTGTATGGATGCCTATCAAGCGTATCGTGGTGAATATGCATAATTATAAAAAAGATGCTCATACAGTGTATAAATTATGATTTTAGGGATAAATACTCTGGAATTCCGGGGCATGTCCCCATCCGCTCACCCCCCCCCCCTCCTCCTCTGCAAGACATCATCAGGTCACTGACTGTTTACTACAGGCACCCCCGCCTGCTCACTAAAATAACGTCTTCAACGGTCCGCAAACAATAGGGTATCTTTTTACATTTTTCCCGATTTTACCTCCCATGTCAGGTCGGGGGCTGCGACCGCCATCTCCAGTCACCTCAGGACAATAGCAAGTCGACCGTGCCAGCGATGTGTGACACTAATGTCTTTCTTTAGAATAACGGTCTGTCCCAGCCCATGTAGAGGATAACTCTCTAACATCAGCCGTGGCCTCAGTTTTAACATCCAACAACTTCGGCCATTTAGTTGGGGTTTTTTTTTAAATTTAATTCAGCAAAGGTTATTTAAGTTTACAAACTAATTCAGGCAACAATGGCCTTGCTGAAGCGCGGGGCCCCTTCAAGCGCGGGGCCTGGGGCGGCCGCCCCGTTTACCACCCCCTAACGCCGGCTCTGTCAACAACACAAAATATGTTCGGACAATGCCGACTGAGGAGAGGCCCGACCATAGAATAGCCTACGGCAAAACCTATGCAAAACACAAGATGTGCCTAAATTTCTTTTATAGTTAACTTTTCTACCGCGTATGTAACTAAATACGTAACAAAAGTTAAGATTGTTGTGTAAATTATCTTAGAGTATTTTTACTTACAATTTGTATAAATCATAATACTTTTAACGTCTATAAATAATTTATGCTATCACAAAATACAACCCACAAAAATAACATACAAAATTTTACAATTCTTAACAAATAAATCAAAAGATTTCTAAAAAGATTTGTGTGACTTTTTTTCTGTGACTTAATTTCTGTGACTTTTTTTCCGATAAAATTTTTCCATTGTGACTTTTTTTCCGTGACTTTTTTTCCTAGCAAAAACTGTGACTTTTTTTCTGTGTTTTTTTTTTTCCTGTGACTTTTTTTCCGTTTACCAAAAAAACAACTTGTAGACTTTGAAATAAATATGCAAGTATTAAAACACCAGATACCAGCATAATGGTTTAAAATTTAAAATGAACACAAGAGCTAAATTCTCCAAGAAAAAAAATAAAACAACTTTCTAACATAATATCTTACCTTCGATCAGTAATTGTTTCTTAAATATTTTCCTCACACTGCTCCGAGTTTTGAATCGACAACTCCCCATGGTTAAGAAAAGCCCCACCCCGTAGTTACAGCCGACAGATGGCGAGACAGGCCGCTCTCTGGCGCTAAATCTTGGGCTCTGTCGTCTGCTGATGTCTGCCACGTCTCCGTGCTGCCGCCATTATCGGCTGCTGTTCTGACCATCTTTGTCAATCTGCTTTTGAACATGCGCGCGCTATGTCGTGCGGACAAGCGATTCGCTGCCCGGGACAAAATGCCCTCCCAGCTCTCCCCGGGTCAAATCTCCCCGGGAATAAAAATTTCGGAATTGCCGGGGGATCGGGAAAAACAAATTGACCGAGTTTCAGTTGAATGTGGTTTAAAAAAGAAAAACAAAACAACAAAACAAACATGTGAAGGGAGCTAACTTTTCAGCAAGTGAAAAAAAAAACCCATCAACAAATCTACTACCATTAAAATTTTGTTACCATCTTATCCAGATCCCTGGCTGTCATCCTTCACTGTGGCTTCTGAAATAAACAAGTCTTTCGTTGCCGGTCATTTTCTGTCATTGCCTACCAATGCCTATCTTTGCCTACCACTCCTGCCATTACTTACCTGTACCAATCATTACCTACCACTCCTGCCATTACTTACCTGTACCAATCATTACCTACCACTCCTGCCATTACTTACCTGTACCTATCATCGCCTACCACTTCCTGTTATTACCTATCATCGCCTGTCATTGCCTGAAAGTACCTGTCATTATGCCGGTGAACGTCTCTCACCGTTGAAACTAATAACTCCGTGATAATCCCGTGATAATCCCACATAATCGTGTCACTGATTGCGAGTTTGTCAGGATTAGTCATGTTGTTGCTACCATGATTCATGTAACTACTGAATCATACCTGGTGCTGTCGTCAAACTACCTTTCACCATTCCTGTTCCTGCTGGCCATAGAATGGCTTATGAAGATGTCAACAGAGAAAACGCGAAACGGTATACAGTGGACATTGTGGAGCCAGCTGGATGACCTGGACTTTGCTGACGACCTGGCCCTTCTTTCTCACACACAACAGCAAATGCAAGATAAAACCAACAGTGTTGCTAATTTTTCTACATGCCTGGGCCTGAACATCCACAGAGGGAAGAGTAAAGTTCTCAAAGTCAATGCATCAAACAGCAACCATATAACATTGGCAGAAGAAGCCCTAGAAGAAGTAAATAGATTCACCTACCTTGGGAGTATTGTTGATAAGCAGGGTGGGACAGAAGCAGATATAAAAATAAGGACGGACAAGCAAGAGCAGTCTTCAACCAACTAAAAAATGTTTGGGGTTCTGGAGATTTAACCCTTCAAATAAAAAATCCAGCTCTTCAACACACTAGTAAAACCTGTTTTACTCTATGGAGTTGAGACATGGAGAATAACTGCTATAAATAAGAAGAAAATACAATCATTTATAAATGAAATGCATGCCTCAGAAAGATCATGCAAATTCGCTGGCCTAAAACCATCAGAAATGATGTTCTATGGCAACGGACCAATCAACTGCCAGTGGAAGTAGAGATCCTCCAGAGAAAATGGAAATGGATTGGCCACACACTCAGAAAGCCTTATCCAGCATAACAAGACAGGCCCTCACCTGGAATCCACAAGGCAGGAGGAGGAGAGTCAGACCAAGAAAGACATGGAGACGTGACCTGGAAGAAGACACCAAGAAGATTGGATACACCTGGGGACAGTTGGAGAGACAAGCCCAGGACAGAGACGCCTGGAAAGCTCTTGTCAGCGGCCTATGTCCCAGGAGGGACGACAGGCAAACCTAACCGAACCTTGTGTACCTTAAACACAGTACATAACGTTGATTGCTCCAGCACAATATTGCTTGCCCCCCCCCCACACAATTGCTTGCACCTACACACCATTTCTTGCCCCCCTCCCCCCTACACACCATTGCTTGCTCCTACAGAACTTTGCCCGCTCAGCCATCTCGAAACTTCCATTTAAATTGTTTGTATGTAACAAATCGCATCTATGTGCAGTAAACAGCAAATCAAAATCATGCCCTCATAAATAACACGCCAAAAAGGAATTACCGACACCAATAAATGAACACACGTCAGACTTGAACATTTCCTTACTTTTTCGACTTGATCTAGATTTCGACATTTACCGGCTCCACATTTTGAATACCCCCCCACCCCCCCACACACACATTTGAATGGTGCTGACCCCGCAGTCGTATGACGTCACTACAGAAATTTATTTCTCTCTGCATTAACCCGGGTTTTGAATGAACAGGTCCAATTCTAGTTTTGCATTTCTGAATGTGCATGCTGTTACTTTCCCGTAAAACCTTTTTTTGCTTCTAAGTAGATTAAATTTCCAGAGAAAGTTTTTATTCATGACATACACTCCAGAAATTCCCAGCTCTTCGTCAATCATTCCTCCAATAATTCTTCCAATCATTCTTCCAATCATTCCTCCAATAATTCTTCCAATCATTCTTCCAATAATTCTTCCAATCATTCTTCCAATAATTCTTCCAATCATTCCTCCAATCATTCTTCCAGCATTCCTCCGATCATTCCTACAATCATTCCTCCAATCATTCTTACAATCCGTCTTGCTGAAGAGGAAGATTGTTTACATAAGGAGAGTAGGATCAACGGATGGGTGCATCAAGGGGAGGGGGGGGGGGGTGTCGATGATGTGGGAGAAGGGGGTGACTTCAATTTCTTCTTGTTATAGAATTAGTTTGTATGGGAGGCTAGGTCAGGTATGGGGGGGGGGGGGTCATTGACGCGGGGAGGGGGATGACGCAATAAGCAGACATTGTAAGAAAGTGATATTACACTAGTATTGTAAGAACTTACTGTGGTGGTGTCGTCCCCCCCCCTCCCAACATTTACCCAGGTGACATCAGCCACTGCCCTCTTAACTTGAGCTTAGATCAGCTTTGTTGTTTTCTTTACCCCCTGTAAAATCATGTTTGTTCAGATTCCCCCCCCCCCCCCCTTCCGCCCAAAAAGTTAAAAGTTTATTTACTTTTCTTCCATCACCAAAATACTTTGTTCATATTTATACCATCAAAAACAACATAATTGTTCAGCAGTGTTTCTTCCAGTCATCTCTTTGGGGGAGGGGGGGTCTATATAGAAAATATATACTTTTACCAGTGTCCGGCCCCTACCCCCCCCCCCCCCCCGAAAATTTCAAGTCTTTCTCCCCCCCCCTCCCCGGGAGAAAAAAGTCTGGAAGACACAATGCTATTCAGAGTTCTACCCCAAAAAACAACATAACTGTTCAGATTTCTCCCCCCACTTACATCCTGAACACCGGCCACCATTACTTACGCCCCGTTTAAGATTTGGTATTTAAATGTCCAGATTATTCCGATCAGGAGTCAGAGGGCGGGGCAGTAGGAGGAAAGTAAAGCAGAGTTGCCTGTCGTTAGCCTAGATGTCGCCTTCACTATTCCGGTGCTGGGCTGGTTTGTCCTTTATTGGGAACATCCCAAACAATGGACGTGTACAGAAACAAGAACACTTGGCAAAGCGGAACTGCAGTGCCGCCAGACCCCGCAATGCGGGGGGGGGGGGGGGGCACGCCATTTAGGGGCCCACAGACGACCATAATAATTTTTTAATAGTTAAAATTTTAAAAATTTTCTTGCATTTTTACTTTCTCGTATATAGGCCTACGAAGTATAGAGAAAGTATTGTAATCGTGCAAAAAAAAAAAAAAAATCGTGATGTTTACAAATCTCGACGTTTTACATCTCACTGATACGGAAAAACATAATTTTGCAATCTTGTCCGTATGTCTGTGTGTCTGTCTGTGTGTGTGTAAACACGATAACTTGAGTACCGTACAGCTAGGTTGATGAAATTTCATATATAAGTATTTTATCAAAATCGTAGATACGTATCAACTTTTGAGCGATTTCCGATAACCGGAAGTGGTACTTTTCCTGCTTTGAAATTTTCAAGAGCCTATAACTTGAGTACTATTTCAGATAGATAAACGAAATTTCACATGTAAGTAAAAGATCTAATTCTCTACCTTCTGTTAAATTTTGAGTAATTTCCGTTGAACGGAAGTAGTAATTTACGCTACTTCCGATTTCTCAAAAAACTAATGTAAATTTTTAAAGTACTAATAATATTGCGCACTTTTATGCACTTTTTTATTTAGCGTTCACTTGGTGTGCAATTCTTTTGTCTACGAGATTTTATTCTATTTTTAAAACTTTAAGTATTTAAAATGGATTAAAAATCATGTCTATAGCCCGAGTTCCCATCCCTTGTTATTTTATATAAAAATATTCTAGAAAGTTTAGGGGAGATCACTCCCGGTTTATTAACTTGATGGTTGTTTTGTAAAAAGATTACCATAGCTGCGGTTGGATTATCTTTAATCTATAGACACCATCCCAGACACCATAGACACCATCTCTTGTATATTCTTTTTCCCTTTGTTTTTAAAGCACACTGAAAGCCGATTCCACTTTCTCCTACAATCAAACTTATCGAAGATAAGTAAACGTTCGAACCACTCTCGTGACTTCTTTCCCTTTTTTAAATAGTCAAATAAGGGTGCTCATAAGCTCCTTTTAATAGATTTGCACTAAACAAATTAAATAGTAATTACTTCTCTTAATTATTTTGTTTTATAAAGTACTTACTAAAGAATGGCATTGTATAAAAAGGAAATGCATTTAAAATTAATAATATAAATACAAAATAACATAAAAATAAACATAACATGAGACACCATTACTTATACAAAGCTTTCATGTTTTATATTCTTTTGACAGCTATAGGGTAGACAGTTTCTAAAGCAAAGATAAAATAAACTAAATTTTTTAAACAGACACTATATATATATATATATTTTATATATATATTTTATATATATATATATATATATATATATATATATATATATATATATATATATATATATATATATATATATATATATATATATATATATATGGGGGGTTAAAAAAAAATTCCCTTTTGGCCCTTTTTTTCTAGTTCCGCCACTAACACTTGAAGTAAACAACTAAATTTATTTAATTAACAATTAGCTTCATTTAATTAAACATTATCTTCATTCTCTGCTTAGCTGGATTAACGATTACAATTCGAGGTCTACCAACATGTTCTGCTAGAGTAGCTTACAGTCG